TCCAGCAGGTCTCACAACAATTATCAGGCTTAAACAGGCACAGTTAAAACACTAGGAACTTCAATACTTGCTCAACTGTAAAAGACTAGATCAAATAATAGACAAGAATGACTTTTCAATACAAATACTCAAAATTGCAAAGGATCTAAGAATAACTTTTCAAAGCTGAAAATGGGATAAAACCTTTGAATGGAAAAAAGGAAACAACCCAATTTAGGAATATCTTCGAAAGAAGAATATAGAAAAGCTATTCCATTCCTGCACAACAATAGACTAATATATCTAGATCAGATAATAGAGAAGAGAACTATGAGACTAAAAGAGTGGAGATTGATTCAACTTCTTCAGGGAATGAGTAAAGGACCATTTCCAGATTGGTACAGCAGACTATCATACCTGTTGATACTAAAAACAATAAAAGAAATTATAGAGAAATGATATAATAACAATATCTTATGAGAACCTGACTATCCAAAACTCAACTTAAGTAGGGATAAGAGACAAAAAATCTGATGTATTCTGAACAAAAGTCCAACAAGATTAATCTGGGGAAAAGTTTCAAGATCAGAAAGGAACTGGTACACTTTAATTGTAAAGAACAAGCAAAAAACCAGGGAACAACTTTTTTTCAGTGCAAAGAATGTGCAGAGGGCATACTCAGTAATGGAGCTTGCATTATAAATGAAAACAAAGACAAGCTTCATGAGATCATTTTTTTAAACAAATGCAAATCAACAAAAACTGCCAAAGAACTAAAGATTCCACTAAAAAAAGAAATACTGGAGAACAAAATAGTAAATAAGATTCAGTGTACTATAACATCTCAAGTAAATAGAAATTAACTATCACAGATAATAATCTAAAGATGGGAAACAAGGATTATTGAAGAACACATTCAAAAAGAAATCTATCAAGACTGTTTAAAAGAAATTTTACGAAGAAACCTTGAAGAGTAAGAGAATTTCCAGTTCTATTCAGATGGATCCCTAATAGACCATGGAAAAGAAACAGCCAGAATAGGGATGGCATGGATTCAAACAAAAGGTAAAGGTCAAGAGAGTAGTTTCCAAGCAGGTATACAAAATTGGCCATCATTTTCAAGAGCAGAGCTAGCAGCAATAGTTACAATCCTATTGGTAATACCAGTAGAAAGCTTGGTTGAAATCTATACAGATAGTCAAACAAGTATATCTAAATAGTACAAGTTGGAAAAAGAGGATCCGAGAATGACTCATAGAAGATGGCTGAAAGAAAAAAACTGGTCTCTTTGAACAAGGATGCTAAATATCATCAAAACAAAAAACATAAAGTTGAAGTTGATTAAAGTTAAGGCATATATCAATATTAAGGAAAATGACTTAGTAGACAAGTTGGCTAAAGAAGTACTAGACCTCCCAATAAGGACCTTAAATTTTATATGATTATTACAGAAGTGAAATGGCAGGATGTAACACTGAATAGTCCCATAAGACAATTTATAAAAAAAATAAATAATAAAACAACAACATACTACTGATCACAACAAAACTGAACTAGGGATAAATGGAATCTTCAAATAGAAGACCAGCAGAATTACTCATGGGATATGGTATGGGAAAGGCTAAAAAAAGAACATATGTGAAACACCTCCTTTAAAAGCTCATAGCGGAAAAGTTTTCTGGTGAAATTAATCAATAATGAACTACTGACAATGGCCAAACTAGTGATCAGAAGACCAGATTTATATCACAAAAATGATTGCTTAGCATGTAATGAACAGGAGAAAACAATAGAACATCTTTTGAAATGCTCAAGATACAAAAACACAATGAAGGAAGCCTGGTCAAAAGGAATAGAGATAATATATTAAGAATTTAAGAAAAAGAGGCAGAAGCAAAAAGATCAAGCTCAAAAAGAATACAGTAATATCCCAATAGTAAATAGAAAAGAAATGAGAAAAATAGAAGCATGGACAACAAATCTTATCAGAAAAGTATCCACAAATAGTCAAAACTCAGTCAGTTTTCTCTCAGGGTTGATTAAAAGAGAACTATTAAGAGAAGTAGGAGAACTTGAATGTGGAGAAAAAAATATAAATAGTCACCAAAAAATGGATACTCCGTTGCCAAAAGAAGATCTTGAATTACTTTAGGAAAGAAGTGTGAAACAAATGATGTGAACTAGTAATAGAATGGAAAAAAGCTCAAGGAATTTTTCAAAAAGATAAAATAAGACGATCCATGAAATCTTATTCAACAAGAAAGATGAAAAAGTTAAAAGAAGAAAGAAAGAAAACAGAGGAAGAATGTTTAGGAAAAGGTTTAACAAGAATAATAATAATGGGAGTTAAAAGTGAAATGAAATGGTTGGATTTTAGGCTCGGTCAGAACTTTGACCAGTGATTTGCAGTAGTGACTGCAGGCAATGATGTTCATAGTAGAAAGGTATTTACCCAAACTATAAACGGAGTGACAAATCACTCCCAAAGTTGCACTTAGAGTTTGACAATAAACTAAGACCAGTGAGTTAGTTAGTGTTTTAGCTTTAGCGTCACTGTAAATAGTATAGCCTACATTATGTTTAATAAAGTACACATAATTAACCTGACAGTGGGTTATAATTAAAATATATATATATATATTTATGATTTTTTTATTTAAATAATTTGATAAAAAAAAATTATTATTTTATATTAATTGTTATTTAAAATTTCTTGAAAATTAATTTTATAAAATAAAATCATAATAAGTCAAGTCATGTTATAAATATTTAACTTTAAATCATATTTTTCAAAAAATATTTTTTTATTAGTTAACTATTGACAAATTTTAAATATTTTTTCAATCATATTATAAATTAAGTATCTTTAAAATTGTATTTTTCTCAAAATTATTTATTAAATTATTATAAAAAACATAAGATTTTTTTTTGTTTTCTACTGTAAATGAATTATATCATAATATTTTTATAATAAATGTTTAATATAAAATGTATTAAATCAGATATATTGTATATACTGCATGTATTTAATAACACTATGAAAAGTTGATAATTAAATCATTATTATTCACGTTGTCATATATTAAATTAAATTTCCTTTTAAAACTTTCCGTGTCAAGTTATTATATTATGATCGTTTGTTATCTTCAAATATAATATGGTTTGAGAGATATTTTAAAAAATGGCACTTCTTAGAATCCGAATAGTAAAAGAGTTTGTTATTAGGAAACAATTTTTAATCTTAATGCTTGTTTTATGCAGTTTAGTGTTTCATTGTTTTTTTTTATTTCAGTTAAAGTATATGCTGTAATTACAGTAACCTATTTAATTTATCTCAAATAAAGATAAGGATATTTTAACAAAAAAAAAAAACCTCCTTTAGGTATAAACGTGACAAAGTTTCTAGAAATAAAAATCAATTAATTGGAAAGGAAACATCCAATAGTTTTAATTTTTCATTATAACTTTATTAATACTGTAAATAATGGATCGGATTCATCTCAACGAAGAAAATAGGTTTATACAAGTCTTCTGGTTTCTGCAAGTTATCACCTTCTAAAAAGATAAGAATGTAAAGATGCAATATGCTATTTTATGGCTAAAATGCTTAAATTACAACCGTGAACTCTGTAAATGAAAAATGAAATATGCTGCGTTTTCTAAAATGTTTAAAGTTCAGTCATTGGGTAGCACACCAAAATAAAGCCCAAGTCCTGCTGAGGCCATCATCTAATGGTGCATTCGGATTGTTAACAAAAAATGTATAGGCTATTTTCGGTTGAACAATTGCATAATTTGTATATAACAATGATATCCAACTATTATTAATTGAAGGAAGTATGTCCGAAATAATTGACGACCACTCTTCGTTAATCTAATTGCGAATAGAGGTTTGGTTTAATATACTAGGCGCTCTTATATACTGTATACTGTATTTAAGATGTTCACTTACAAATTTCTTAGTCCTAAAATATGGCACAATAGGTGTAATTGGAATCATCTGGATTCCCTGAATAGCTTCTACATGTATCGTATTCAAATAGTTATCGTTGTTTAGTTTGTTCCTTTTAAATTACACTTCCAATGCACTTTTCACTTACCAGTTTGCTGGGAAAAGAAGGTGGTATGATCAAGTTTGTCCTCCCACAATATACCCGAAACCTTGTTCTTTAAAAATGCCTTCGGTTGTACAGTATTTTCATCCTCTAATAGGAAATATGATTGCATTGCCCTTGACTCAACTGCCAGTATGACATCCATCAGTTTACCCAAGTTACGCATCACAGTTCCGCCGGAGCGCTCCGAGACTTGAGCCCACAATTTTGCAGCAAAGTAGAAATTATAATCTTCGCTAGTAGACTCTTCATTGTTTCCATCTTGAGAGGCAAAGATTCCACTTGCCCAACTGTGACCGGCAAACCAGTCGAAACTACGGAATGTGGGAAAGTACGGATCATTTGATGATGGATTAGATACATCACGAATCAATGAGTTCACCCATGCGGAATTAGCAATTCCCCATGACTCATTAAAATGCC